GCCGAAGAAGCAAGGATGCAAGGGTCGGGTCGGGCGAAAGGGGGGGATAGCAAAGGGGGGGTTTGAGAATCAGCTCACGTAGCTGATTTTCCCGGCGCCTCCCGGCGCCGGAGGCGGCTATGTATCGAGGAATGGGCCCCTTGGTGAGGCCGACACCAGCTGCATGCAGCAAATTTCGTAACCCCCCCTTTCCCAATCCCCCCCCCTTTCGCCCGACCCGAAAGGGTGCCCTTGGCAAGGCTCCCCACCCAACTAGGAATTCCGACTGCCAGGGTTGCGAAGGGGCTGCCCGGGCCAAAAGGCGCGCCTCGGCCGGGCCCGGAAACCGGGGCCCCTCCTGAGCCGAGAGCGGGCCCGATCTCGGCGCCTTGGCTGTAAGTATTGGCCTCGGCCCTCTCAGACCGAGGATGATTGCAAAAAAAAAACCGGGTTTTTTTTGCAATCCTGGCCCTCTCAGACCGAGGATGATGTAAGTATTGGCCCCGGCCCTCTCAGACCGGTTTTTTTTGTTGCAATCCTGGGTTTTTGTTTTGCAATCCTTCGCGCGCCACGACGCGCGGTGCCCAAGCAATCCGAAGTGCGCGCGGCACCAGCGCAACCCGGAGCCCCTGCCGGACCGCGGAGGGCGAGCAGGTCCGGATCAGCCAGCGTCGGATCGGAAGATCGGATCACACCGGAGCGTGCGTCGGATCGGTGTGTCTTGGCACCGAGGCACAATCGAGTCGGATCGGCTGCGCCAGGATGCACAACAGCGCCATGCAAGCATCGGGCCACATCGGATCGTCGGAACAGCAGAGTCGGATCGCGTCGAACAGGTGGAACCGGTACCGAGTGACGTAGACCCTGCCTCGAGATAGCTGCTGGGTCTGCGCCTTTCCCCTCCGCCAGCGTCGCCTCCTCTCGCGCCCGCCCCTGCGTAAGGCGCTGCCAGAGGCTGCCCAGGCCAAATGTAAGTCGAAGGCAGGACGAGGATAAGTTCGGATAGGGGGACGAGCCGGGAATCCGTGACCGCTGGCGGGTCCAGGGAGTGTCTCGGGCGCCGCAGCCGCCTCCAAGCGCCCCGCCTGCCAGACGAGGCGGCCCCGGCTTCTCCAGAGAGGTCGGCGGCGGCCTCCCGAGCACAAGACCCAATGGACGCAGGGTGCCCCCTCAAAGTTCCGCGAGAAGCCGGGGGGGGGGGGCACTCCGGCCAGGAGCACGATCCAGGACATCCAGGCCTCCGAAGAGATTAGCGAACACCCATGCTGCAGTCACCTGTCAATGCCCCCCCCCCCCCCACTGATCAGTGCCGGCGGTGGGCTGACTAAGCTGCACTCCGACCGCAGGTCTTCCCCGCGCGTGCCAATTTTGAGCTTGGGGAGGCGGGGGAAGTGTCCACGAATTGTTTCCCTTTACCCTCCACCGTCCGACGCGGTGACCTCTCTTCAGGGATCTACTGACCCGGGCCCGTGCAAACCCGGGGCAGCCACAGGCTCTGCAGGATCCCGCAAGCTCCTGCCTGGATCCTGGAGGATCCTGCACGCAAGCCCGGGACCGTGCCAAAACAGGGCTAGGATCGGGATGAATCGCTCCAGAGCGTTCCGGAACGCTCTGGAGCGGCCGCGGCGCCCAATACATCCTCCAAACCCGCCGATTCTCAGAGATTTCGAGTTATCCCGATCCGATTTTGTCCCGATCTTCGCGTCGTTTTACAGTGCACCCCTGGCCCTCCAGGATCCTGCAAGCTCTGGCGCTCCGGCCGGCCCCCGTTGGCACGGACCCCCGCCTCGAGGCTCCCGAGGCCTCCCGACGGCCCTCTCCCCGGGGCCGGCTCTCGCCTCCCGGACGTCCGTCTGCTGAGCAGGGGCCGACCGTCCCGGCATTCCTGGTGTCCTACCACGAGATGTTTGCGGGCAATATTTATATCCATGTCCAGTGCGTCTTGGACTTTCTTGGAAGGGGCGCCGCAAGGCCGAGGCGCACTGGATATGGATAAAAATTGAGCTTTTTGGAGGCAGATTATAATCCATATCCAGTGCGCCTCATGCTTCTTGGGAAGAGAGTCCGAAACTCCAAGACGCACTGGATGTGGATACAGACATTGCCCGCAGTTCCTAGAACCCAAGAATGTTCGAAACACAAAAACAAGGTTCTTAGAACAATAAGCCCGATGTGATAAAAACAGGACAGGCTCCGCCAGAACTGCTCTGAGAACATCTCGTGGAGACCACAAAAGACTCTTAGAACATTGTTTGGCAGGGCCATCGGCGAGCCAGGACGCTCCGCCACTGCCTGAGTCCATCGATGGCCCCGCAGGGCCGAACCGCAGGGAAAGAGAAGAGGCCGCCGGAGACCGAGGAGGAGGAGGAGGAGGAGGAGGAGGAGGAGGAGGAGGAGGAGGAGGAGGAGGGAGGAGGATGAGGAGGAGGAGAGGAGGAGGAAGAGGAGGAGGAGGAGGAGGAGGAGGAAGAGGAAGGTTCTGAAGAAGGTCTCCGCCCTCCCGGGCCGCTGGCGCCTCGCCTCTTGCGGGCGCGTGGCCTCCGGGCCTCTCGGCCCCAGCTCCTCTGCGGGCCAGGTTTGTATCCCGAGGCAATGCTTCACGGGCCCGATGACTTCCATGTTTCTTCTTCTTCTTCTACATATACTTACTATTTTTCTTCCTCCTCCTCCTCCTCCTCCTCCTCCTCCTCCTCCTCCTCCTCCTCCTCCTCCTCCTCCTCCTCCCCCTCTTTCTTCTCCTCCTCCTCCTCCTCCTCCTCCTGCCCGAAGCCCGAAACCAGCCTCGACGTCAACAACGAAAAAAAGCCTCAGGTCTTGGCGTTACAAGCTGTTCACAACTGGCTCGTTCGCCCGGTGTCGGGCCCCGGGGTCCCTCACGGCTCAATCCGGCTCGAAGAATGGCGCAGAAGCATGGGGTCCAGGGCTCCAGTCGCGATGTTGTGCGATGTCGCATGTTTTTTCGCAACGTCGGACGTGAAGGATTGTGGAGAAACTGGCCGCTCTGATTTTGTGGAGGCTGGATGTCTGGGTCGTTGTTGAGCAGCTGGCAAGGAAGTGATCAAAACCAGTCTGCGGTGGACAGACCTCCTTTTAGCAAACCTCCCCTTAGTGAAAGCGGCCGAATACCGAAGCCGACGGACCTGGACCCGCAAAAATGACGGCCGCGACGCCCTCTCGCGAACCGAAAACGGCCGATTCCTTAACCGACGCGTCAGGGCAGGAGGTCTGTCAACCTCCGATCTCTGACGCCTGGCGAGGGCCACCAGGCCCACGACGCCGGTGGCCCAGCGTGGCCCATCGTCGTGGCCCCCCACCGGGGCCCGCACTCGTGAGCACCCACCGTGGCTTTCTGCAAGGCTGCTCACGCAGAGGGACTTCTGCAGCAAGGGTGCCGCCAAGCATGCGGCCCGCATCGGGGACGGGCAGAACCCCCCCTTCAGCAAAACGTGGTTTAGTGGAAGCGACCACGGGCCCAAACCCAGCGGACGCAGGCCTGGAAAATGACGGCCGCGGCGCCCTCTCGAGAACCGAAAACGGACAATTCACTGATCGACGTGTCAGGGCAGGAGGTCTATCAACCTCCGACCGCATTCAGGCGAGAGCACGAGCCTTGACTAGAGCTGTGGATGCCACGACAATGGACACCCTAACACCCCTATCATTGAATCTAAAATGTGTTTGAAATGTCGGGAAACCTGTTCTAAACATGCTTAAGCATGTGCTCTACATGTTGAAAAGAAGTTTAAACACATGTTCTGGACATCTGGAAATTATTTGGCAACGTGCTTTCCCTCCATTGATCGTCCTCCACAAGGGTAGGTGGTCTACACCCTGCGAACGCTTAAGAAATCATGGGTCAAGAAATTCATAGTCTCAGAACTCGAATAAAGACCCGACACTTCTATTAAAAACTTAGGATTGACATTGAAACATTAAGAATAATCGAGACTCTGGCCGAAACCTTAAGTTTTCTTAAGCATCGCCTAAGGTCTATCAACCTCCGACCGCACCGAGGCGAAAGCACGAGGCGCCTCGCGCGAGGCGGCTGCCAGACCCGGGGCGGCCTCGGGCTCCCCCCGTCCCCCCCCCCGCCACACGGTGGGACTCCTCCGTGCCTTCCCTCCGGCCGCCGGCACTGGTGGGCCTGTTTTCCACTACCACCACCATGAGTAGGAGGGGGAGGGGGTCCTCCTCCTCCTCCTCGTCTTCTTCCTCCTCTTCTTCCTTCTCCTCCTCATCCTCCACCTCCTTCCCCCTCCAACTTCTGGTGGTGACGGTGGAAAGCAGGCCCATCAAACATGATGTTGTTTCTTCTTATCCACCGCGCAGGCCCTCCCGTAAAGCGAAGCTGGGGAACTCCACTCTCTTGTTCACGGCGTTCGGGGGCGGGGCAGCTGGTTTCAGCCAAAGGCGCGCGAGGCGGTCTCTCTCCCCCTCTCCCTCTCTTCCTTGCGTGCGCGTCTCTCTCGCTCTCTCTCTCCCCCTGCTCTTCCTCTCCCTGTCTCTTTCCCCGTCGGCCAAGGGCCGCCAGTGGAGACCTCCGGCGCGCGCGGCCGACGGCCGCCGCGCGCGCCGCGGGTCGGCCGCGGGTCGGCGCGCCGGGGGCGCCGGGCCGCCGGGCCGCTCGAACGGGGACGGACCCACGGGCCCACGCTGGGAGAGGCAAGGTTCGGGAGGGGACCCGCTCAGGGAGGGCAGGCATCGCGCTGGAAGCGGCGATGCGTCGCCTGACAGGTCGGCGAGAGCCGCCAGTTGCGAGCGAGTCGGTGCGCTCCTGGGCGGGGTGGGCTGTGAGGCACCTGAGCGACGAAGGAAACGGGTCTTACGCGAGATGGCGCAGCGAGCTTACGCGCGGGCTTTCGCGGGGGCCGCCAGCGCAGCGCGCCACACTGGGGAACGAGGGCGCTCACGCGCGACCTTGCGCGGGCAGCTTACGCACGAGTGTCCGCGCGATCGAGCCCGTTTTCTGCGTCGCTCATCTGGCGTGTCGAGAGAATCGAAGCGGCCCGTCTGCTGTCAGTCTAGCATCCGGGGGCCGCAGAGAACTTGGGATGACAAGACTGGTCCCACGAGGCCTCCGAGAGGCCCCCGAGATGGCTTCAAGTGGCCTCGAGGTCCCCAAGAGGCTCCCAAGAGGCTCCCAAGAGGCCTCCAAGAGGCCCCCAGGAAGCTTCCAATAGGCCTCCCAAGAGACTCCAAGGCCTCTGGAGGTCTCAATAGGCCGTCCCGGGACCTCTTGATGACCCCAGCGGCCTCTGAAGGAGCGAAGAGGAAGGGGGAGAGGAGGAGCCGCGGGGGGAGGAGGGGAAGCAGGAGGAGGGGGAGGTGAAGGAGGGGGAACAGCAGGAGGAGGACGAGGAGAAGAGGAAGGAATGGGTGAGTAGGGGGGGAGTAATAGTCATAGGAGGAAGGGGACGTACATAACCATAGACCGAACATCACAATCACGGTGGTCTTAGACCACCCTGGCTCGCGGTGCATTCTCGGAGGCCCGCGTCTGCCGCGTGAACGAAGTAGTCGTGAAACTCCGTGAAAGATGTTCGGCGGCGAGCCCAAGGGGGAAGTGAGAAGGGGCGGGCCTTCTCAGAAAGCTCGGAGGGCTTCGGGCCTTCTGAGAAGTTATATAAGCCTTCCCCGAAGACACCAAAACTTCTAGGAAGGCCGGAGGGCTTCCGAGAAGCCCCGCCGCTTTCTGAGAAGGCCTTCTCCTTCTCACTTCCTCCCCCGGCGCGCCGCCGAGATATGCTGCCGCTCCGATCCGCATCCAGCTCCTCGAGCATGGCCTCCACCGTCTTCGTCGCCGGCACGCGCCAGAGGAGGGAGCCAGGCAGGAGCCCAGCGGCGAAATGGACGGCCAAGTGGACGGAAGGCCCCAGGGGTGGCCTCGCGCCTCCCAGGACCCTGCTCCTCCTCCCCCATCCTCCTTAACGAGGAGGAGGAGGAGGAGGAGGAGGAGGAGGAGGACGAGGAGGAAGAGGAGGAGGAGGAGGAGGAGGAGGAGGGGGAGGAGGAGGAGGAGGAGGAGGAGGAGGAGGAGGAGAGGAGGAGGAGGAGGGAGGTGGAGGAGGAGGAGGAGGAGGGACGGAGGAGGAGGAGGAGGAGGAGGAGGAGGAGGAGGAGGAGGAGAAGAAGGAGGACCTCTTCCTGCTGGCCATGCCCAGAAGGGCACCAACTATACACCTGTACACCGATCATGCGCAGCATCGGCCTGCCCAGGATCTGTGCAGGGGTATAGTTGGTGCCCTCTGGTTGCCCTGGATCCCACGCCTGACTGTTCCTCCTTCTCCCCCCCCTCCTCCTCCTCCTCCTCCTCCTCCTCCTCCTCCTCCTCCTCCTCCTCCTCCTCCTCCTCCTCCTCCTCCTCTTCCTCCTCGTCCTCCTCCTCCTCCTTCTCCTCGTTCTCGTCCGCGTCATCCTTCTCCTACTCCCCCTCCACCTCCTCCTCCTCCTCCTCCTCCTCCTCCTCCTCCTCCTCCTCCTCCTCGCCCCTCGGCCCCCTGGTACCCTCCGATTGCCCAGGCCGGTCCACGTGCAAGGTGTGAGCCTACAGGCCAGAGTGGCCGTGGATGCACGGCCTGAGGCTTTGAAGGGGGACGCAGAGAGGCCAAGGCCAAGCGGGCAACCCGGTGCTGGGCGGACCCTGCCACTCTGGGGGGGCGGGAAGGGGACGTGGGGATAGAAAGCGGAGGATGAGCAGGATGAGGCGGATGAGGCGCGACTTGCTGCTCTGGGCGGCCTCGTCCCGTGGGTAACAACACGCTGGTGGCTGCACGCCTCGTCCGCCTCAGGAGGTGGAGGATGAGGGGGATCAAGGGGATTGGGGGGGATGGAGGGGGGGAACGACCACCCTGGGCGCCGCCCTGGATCTCCCCACTGGATGTGCAAGTTCTCGATCTTTCCGCTCGCCAGCAGCCGCTCGACGTCGCCACGGTCGAGGACGCCGTCGTGGTTGGCGTCGAAACAGTCGAAGGCAACCTGGTGGCGACTGCGCGGGAACGAGTAGAACACGACGAGACGGCGATGACGACGACGACGCCGACGCCGACGACGACGCCGACGCCGACGCCGACGCCGACGACGACGCCGACGACAACGCCGACGCCGACGACGACGCCGACGCCGATGCCGACGCCGACGCCGACGCCGCTGACGACGACGACGCCGACGTCGACGCCGATGACGATGACGACGACGCCGACGCCGACGCCGACGCCGACGCCGATGACGACGACGGCGACGGCGGCGGCGGCGACGACGTCGACGACGGCGACTGTCGCGGCCACGGCCGCGGCGGCGACGACGACGACGACGACGAGGACGCCGACGTTGACGCCGACGCCGACGCCGACGATGACGACGACGACGACGACGACGGCGACGACGACGGCGGCGGCTGCATTGACGCCCACAAGGGTGACCTGAAGGGACACCGCGAATAGCTCGTGTGAGGTGGGGAGGCAGTTTGCCACGAACTCCGACCTGTCAGAGGGAGGGGGGGATGTGGGGGAGGGCGGAGGAACGATGGGGGACTGGAGGGTCTAGATGGGGATATCAGGAATGAGGGATAGGGGGTGTTGGAGAGGTGGAGGGGTAGACTGGAAGGCGTGAAAAGCGATGGAGCGTAGGGACGAGTGGGGAAAGGGGCGGGAAAGAGGGATCCGAAGGGGGGTGGATTGTAAAGAATGGGGGAAATTGCAGTGTGAGGTGGGGAAGGGGGGGGGGACGATGCGGGATGGCGGCTTTGGACGGCGATGGGGGACGGGGGAGAGGGACGGAGGGAGGGCGGGGAAGAGAGGGAGCCAGACGGGGTGAGGGAGCACTGGAGATGGTGGATGGGAGATGGGGGATGGGGGACGGAGTCGGGGTGGGGAGGGTGAACCAGAGTGGGATGGGGACGAGGAAGAGGGAGCATATGGGGGATGGGCATTGGTGACGGGGGACTGCAAATTGTTGATGAGAGATGGGGAGGGCAAGGGGCGTTGGCGATTGTGGATGGGTGGCGGGATGCTGGATGGCTAGGGATGGGGGAAGGGTAGCCGAGGGAAGGAGGAGAGAGAGAAGATCGGGGGGCGGGGGGGGGAAGGCGGAAGAGGGGGCATGGGGACGGTTAATGGGAATGGGTTGGAGGTTGACAGGACCGGAAAAGTCAAGGAGAACGCAAAGAAGAACGAACATAACGAGAAGGGAACAGGACGACCACGGGATCGAGAAACATAGGGGGACCTAGGGGGAGTACGAGAAAAGACAAGAAGTAAGACGATGACGAGGGAGGCGGTGGGGGAGAGAGGAAGACAGGGAAAAGGAGCACTACTACTTGAGGAGGACAGGGAGGAAGGGGTAGAAGCCGAGGAAGAGCTGGAAATACGAGGTGGGGAGCACCGAGAGAACGGAGGGACGTGACGGGGGAGGGCGGGGGCACATTCGGGGCGAGCGGAGGAAGCGAAGCGGAACGGAGAGGGGGGGGGGGGAGAAGCAACGGGGCGGGGAAGGGGCGCAACAGAGCAGGCGACCGTGAAGAGACCCCAAGAGGGAGGCGTCCTGGCGGGGAGCGCCTGCCCCCGAACTCCGATCCACGCGAGGGAGCCCCACGGGGGCAGCGTGACGCCCCTCGTCGAGAACGGCCCCATCTCTGAGCAGCGCGGCGGGGTGCAAGAGGGGAGCGCGAGAAGCAGGGGTTCTGGGATTCTGGGATGGCATCTGCTGCAAGCGTAGACACCAGTCGGAGGAGTCTGATGCGGGACAGGATGGCAGGGCCCCCCGACCCCCACTCCCAGGACAGTCCTGGGCGTCATGCGAGAAGTGGGGATGCGAGGAGAGAGGCAGAAAGGGAGCTGAGGAGAGGCACCCCGCGACACCAACACGCCTGGCCCAGCGCGCAGCGAGTGTGAAGGCGGCGAGCGAGGCCCGACGCCGAACGCGCGCGGACAGAACTGCTCCCGGCTGCCTCGGAGGTCGCCCCCGCTGGGGGTGCTGCTCCCTCGTGGGAGCCTCCCAGCCGTGGCCAGGGAGGGAGCGTTGGGCATGGCTTAATGGGGGGGTCACAAATGGGGGGGTCAGAAAAGGTCCTCTTTCGTGCCCCTTTCGGGCCCCTCCAGCGCCCCATGGGGCTCGTTTAGGTACCGTTTGGGTACCTTTTCGGACCACCCTCGCCACCCCCCCATGTATGACTCCCCCATTACGCAACGCCCAAGAGCGGAGGAGAACGACACGGTCGGGAATGTTTGCTCAGCGTGTCGCGGCGGTGGCCCCGGCGACACGCTACGCCCTGCGAGCTGATAGCGTGTCGATCCGCTCCGCAGGGCGGGAGGCTGGGCGAAGCTCGGGACGTGGACGTTCGGGGACTGGGACGTGAGCACCGTGTCGCGCCAAGGTGTGGAAGAGGAGGAGATGGAAGAGGAGGAGGAGGAGGAGGAGGAGGAGGAGGACGAGGAAGAGGAGGAGGAGGAGGAGGAGGCGGCGGAGGAGGAGGAGGAGGGCCAGAACTGGCTGCGCGACACGCTGGGCAAAAGCTCCTGCCCGTTGGGGGAGAAGGATGCCGGAACGCGGAGCGGGACGGGGGGGGGGGGGAGGCGTTTCTCGAGGAAGAAAGCACGCGCAAACCTATGCTGTCGGAGGCACGCACAGACTTGTTGGATCGGCGCAGCAAGCAGAAAGCACAACCCCACTTCGGATTGAAGTGTAACACTACACTTCGAAGGTCCGCGAGGATTCCCTTCGTCTGCGCTGGACCCCCCTGATGGCGCCACCCGCGCTACCCCTGGGGCGCTCCGCGCACCAGGAAGGGGGGGGGGGGGGCCGGCGCCGATGCCAGACACACGCGCGGACCTCCGAGAGCACATGCTGGTGCCGCTGCTGCTTCGAAGGGAGGGAGGCGCGCGCCAAGGGGCGCGGAGGGGGGGGAGGCTCTTCCCCACTCCCCTGTGCCACGGGTGGCCGGCCTGCCTCCTGCTCCACCGCCTGCGCCGAGTGGGGCCCCTGCTTCTCGGGCCCCGCGCCCGGACGGGCGGCCGCCGACCGCCGCCAGGTCACCGGCCAGCCCCGGGGGGGGGGGCCTCGTGCGTTCAAGAGGGTCGGACGCCCGCTGGCCATCCCTATCGGTGTTCACCCCCCCCCCCCCCCGCGACCTCATAGACTGCATGCCACCACGGCAGGGCTGCGCCGCAGCGTGAGGCGGAGAAGCGGAAGGCCTGTGCGCAGAGTGTTCGAATGAGCCATGGCGCGAAGGTCGATGGCCAGAAGCGAAGCGGCAGGAGGAGGCGGGGAAGCAACAGCAAGTCAGGGGCGCGCTGCACGTGCCCGCGAGCGTCACCACAGACTTCGCTGGAGGCGGACAGCAGAATTGTCCGACACGGGCCCGTGAAGAGGAGCCCGCGCGTGCGTACACCGACATGGCATTGCTGGTGGCACTCGCACCAGAGACCCTCGCGGGTAGGAGCAAAGCCAAACCAACGACACAGCAGAGGGGAAGGAGAGGGGAGACAGAAGGGACGAAGGGCAGACGAGAACAATAAGAACAACAGCAGCAGCAACAACAACACCAACCACAGCAACAACAACAATTACAACAACAACAACAACAACAACAACAACAACAACAATTACTAGCACGTGGGGACACTCCGTTCTCACCAGTGCCAGGGTTTTCATAGGAGGCGGGCAATACCCCCACTTTGTGGGGGGGCCGGTTCAAGCTCTACCAAATTTCCAAACGACTCTTCGCCACCACCCACACCCAGCTTCCCGCCCTATGACGTTCGGACACTTCACTTCGTGGCATGCGGACGACCGTGGCTACTATTCAGGGCCCCGCGGCCGACGACGACGGCGTGCGCGCGCGAAGAAAAAACGAATGTGTCCCGCATGGTATTATTTGACAGGGATGATGGCCCTGGCAGGTGCGCAACCGTTGTTGCAGAAGTTCGAAAAAGTTGCTCGCAAAAGCCCGTTTGACAGAAATGTTTAAAAAGTGTTGGGTTTCCTACGAATCCGCAAGAGCGCGCGGGATGAAATTTTGACAATTTTTTGTTGAAAAACCATTGTTTTTTATGTTTTTATGTTAAAATCGCTGCGAACACTAAGGTTTTGGAAGGATTTCGTCTTGCGCGCGCGAATGTCCACTTTACCTTATTTTTTGCAAGGGATTCTTGAAATTTGATTATATTAGAACAAGAAATGTCATTTTCTATTGTTTTTTGCAAGGGAAAGCGGATTACAACAAAACAACCGGATCCTGTACACACCCTCTTTTCTGAGGCTTCCTCACGAAAATGATGAAAATGTAGCTGCGGCCTAGGCGGCGCAGGGGGGGCGCGCACCAGGGGGCCCAACAATAATTATTCTTTAGAATAAATAATGTTCAACAACAACAACAACAACAGCAACAATACTACTAACAACATCAATAGCAACACCATGAACATAATCAGTAACAGCAACAACAACAACAACAACAACAACAACAACAACAACAACAATTACTAGCACGTGGGGACACTCCGTTCTCACCAGTGCCAGGGTTTTCATAGGAGGCGGGCAATACCCCCACTTTGTGGGGGGGCCGGTTCAAGCTCTACCAAATTTCCAAACGACTCTTCGCCACCACCCACACCCAGCTTCCCGCCCTATGACGTTCGGACACTTCACTTCGTGGCATGCGGACGACCGTGGCTACTATTCAGGGCCCCGCGGCCGACGACGACGGCGTGCGCGCGCGAAGAAAAAACGAATGTGTCCCGCATGGTATTATTTGACAGGGATGATGGCCCTGGCAGGTGCGCAACCGTTGTTGCAGAAGTTCGAAAAAGTTGCTAGCAAAAGCCCGTTTGACAGAAATGTTTAAAAGTGTTGGGTTTCCTACGAATCCGCAAGAGCGCGCGGGATGAAATTCTGACATTAAAAAAAATGGTTGTTTGATGTTTTTATGATAAAATCGCTACGAAAACTAAGGTTTTGAAAGGATTTCGTCTTGCGCGCGCGAATGTCCACTTTACCTTATTTTTTGCAAGGGATTCTTGAAGTTTGGTTATGTTAGAACAAGAAATTTCATTTTATATTGTTTTTTGCAAGGGAAAGCGGGGGGGAACAAAACAACCGGATCTGGATCACATCGTTTTGCCTGAGACTCCCTCACGAAAATGATGAAAATGTGGCTGCGGCCTAGGCGCGGCGGGGGGGCCGTGCACCGGGGGCTCCAACAATAATTATTCTTTAGAAGTAATAATGTTCAACAACAACAACAACAACAACAACAACAACAACAACAACAACAACACCAACAACACCACCACCACCACCAACAACAACAACAACAACAACAACAACAACAACACACAGCAGGAAAGTCGCTGCGTGGCGGCTTCGCGCCACGCGTGGGCCCAGCAGGGCGGCAGGCGGGCAAGCCCGGCGCAGCGGCTGGGGTCGGCCGCCGGCGGCCGTAAAGGGGCCAGGCCGCATGCCTGCAGTAGCCCTTAGACTACACGTCGTTCATTTCTGATCGTGCTCATTTCTAATTGTGTTTGTTTCTAAGTGTTCCTGACCCCCTAGTGGCCAGGAAGAGGCCCAGGATAGAAGAAGTAGAAATGAAAGGATCTCTGCCCCAAAATTCAACGAACTTTCGAAGAATTAGATATGAACCATGTGTACCCTTTAAGTAAGAAAACGCATGCACAGCACAAAAAATAGGGAGGCCAGGAAGGGAGGGGAAAAGGAGAGGGAGAACTGGAATACTGGCAGACAGCGCTCACTGATTCACTCCTCCCCGTCGAGCTGCACAGCATCGTGCTTCCCTGGCGCCTCGAGCGGAACGAACAAGATGTTCCTGCATGGTGCGGGAGCCGCCAAGCTGGTCGAGCCGGGAGTCAGCGAGCTGGTCGGCGAGTAAGCCGGCGAGCAGCTCTGCGCGGGAATCGGCGAGCAAGTCGGCTCGGGAGTCGGCGAGCCACTCTGCGCGGGAGTCGGTGAGCTAATCGGTGCGGGAGTCGATGTGCTGTTCAGCGAGGGAGTCGGTGAGCTGGTCGCGCTGGGAGTCAGTGAGCTGGACGGCGCGGGAGTCGGCGAGCTGGTCGGCGCAAGACTCTGTGAGCTGGTCGATGCGGGAGCCACCAAGCTGGTCGATGCGGGAGTCAGCGACCTGGTCGGCGCGAGAGTCAGCGAACCGCTCGGCGCGGGAGTCGGCGAGCAAGTCTGCTCGTGAGTCGGCGAGCCGGCCGATGCCGGAGTCGGTGAGCAAATCGGTGCGGGAGTCGGTGAGCTGGTCGCTGCGGAAGCAGCCCAGCTGGTCGGTGCGGGAGCCGCCAAGCTGGTCGGTGTGAAGTCGGTGAGATGGTCTGCGCGGGAGTCCTCATTCTTGAGCTGGTCGGGCTGGGAGTCGGCGAACTGGTCAGTGCGAAAGTCGGTGACGGCTGCGATTCTGGTGCAGGCGCTGGCATTTTGCGCCGCTGCTTAGGAGAACACTCTCCCAGCAATGTGTGGCCCTTCTTTGGTGCAAAGGTCGATGCTGGCGTCGATGCTGGTGAAGGCGTAGGCATTTGCCGTCTACGCTGGTGGCGATGCTGCCAAAGGCGCTGGAGTTGGCGTCGGCGTCGATGCTTGCGTCAATGCCGCTGGCACTTGGCCAGCGCATGCGCAGGAGTGGAACCAGGGCCAATGCTGGCGTCAATGCTGGTACAGACGTTGGCGCTGGTGCCAGCGCAGGCGCCAGACTTGATACCAAGGTCGATGCTGGGGTCGATGCGGGTGTAGGTGCTGGCGCTGATGCCGGTATAGCTGCAGGTGCTGACTCTATCCTCGATGCTTAAGTCGACACTGTAGTAGGCGCCTGAGTTGGTACCAACGTCGATGCTGCCACCAATTCTGGTGTAGGTGTTGGCCCTGGTGCCGGCGTAGGTGCAGACGTGGCCGCTTTCCTCGATGCCTGGCGTCGACGCTGCTGTAGACGCCAGAATTTCAGCCGGCGTCGGTAGTTAACGGCTGCGCTTCTGGTGCAGGCGCTGACGTTGGTGCCAGCGTGGGTGCAGACATTGCACTGTCGTCGATGCCGCTGTGGGCACAAAGGTTGGTGCCAAAGTTTTCCCCCCAATAGAAGCGCACGATGTGCCTGATGTGACTCGCCGTCTGCTGCTTGCCCTTCCTCTGGCGGACAAATCGTGCCACCCCTGGCATACAAAAGAGCACAAACACTTGTCACGGCCTCGGTGAATGCGGGCGTGTTCCGCCACTGCTTAGGAGAACACTCTCCCAACAATGTGTGGCACTTTTGGTGCAAAGGTCGATAATGGCGTCGATGCTGGTGGAGGCGCAGGCGTTGGTGTTGGCGTCGATGCTGGTGTCGATGGTGTCGTCGTCCAAGCTGGCATCAATGCCGCTGGCGCTGGTGCCGGCCCAGGCGCCGGAGTTGGAGCCGGGGTCGATGCTGGCGTCAATGCTGGTATAGCCGCTGGCGCAGACGCCAAATTTCAAACCGGGGTCGATGCTGGGGTCGATGCTGGTGTAGGCGCTGGCGCTGGCGCTGGTATAGGGTCAGGCGTGGGCGCTATCCTCGATGCTGGCGTCGACGCTGCAGGAGGCGCCAGAGTTACTGAAGGCGTCAATGCTGCAACCAATGTTGTGGTAGGCTCTGGTGCTGGTGCCGGCGTAAGAGCAGGCGCGGGTGCTGTCCTCGATGTTTCTGTCTACGCTGGCGGTGGTGTAGGCGCTGGTGTTAGCGCCGGCGTAGGCGCCGGCGTTGGTGCGGGCGTCGGTGCTGACGTCGGCGCTGGTGTAGGCGCTGGCATTGATGCTGGCTGGAGCTTGCAAGACCTTTTCGATTAAACTCGGGAGGTCTGGAACCAAGGGTGTCAGACAGGAGAGGCAGAAACACGAGCGACAGCATTCGGTATCGCTCACATCATCTCCCCGCCACCGTTTTGGCTCAAGCAAAAACCAAGCAAGCTGGCCGGCGCGGGAGTCGGCGAGCTGGTCGGCACCGGACTCGGTGAGCTGGTCGGCGAGGGAGTCGGCGAGTTGGTCGGTGCGGCAGGCCGCGATCTGGTCGGTGCGGCAAGCCTCGATAGGGACGGCCGCTGGATCAGGTCATTGAGCTACAGCCGAGCATCAATACCGCTGTGAATCACGATTGTGTTGGTGATGCTCACCAGCGTGACCGCTGACGGTCTTCGGTCGGTCGTCGGGTCGTCGGTGAAATTGCCCAGGGAGTGCGAACCGTTTGGCACGGGATGACGGCTGCTGCCGCAGTAGGTGCGCAGACCCAAGCGGGACCTCTCCTGCCCTGGGTGGTGCAACCTGTCGCCACTCTCGTGAGCTCCTGGGAAGTCCAGCGGAGCGACATCCTACGCAGATCCATCATGGGACCTCGCCTCCCTGGGTCGGTCGATCTCGCGAGGCAGCATAATTTCATGATCTGGCAGCTGGAAGAAGAAGCGTCGTCATTCATCGGTTCCGCTCGTCTGTCCAATGGCATTGCTGTCTCTGCCCGTAAATGTGTGTCCTCCTCCTGTTCCTTGGCCTCGTCCCTTCTCACAGCTCCCCGTCCTTCACGCCCTCTGCCTCCTGCACATTGAGTTCGCTCCTGTCGCTCATGTTATTCATCCTCGCCCCATGATCTCTTTCTCCTCGATTTCTCCGACTCGGGATCTATGCTCCCAGCGTGTCCAGGTCATCGCTAGAATTTGGAATGCCGCCTCTGCCCGACCTCAAGCGGCGTTCAACGCAGCACTCTCTGATGTCATCTGCGCGGGGATCGCGTGCTCCCTGACGGACTCGTCTGCTTCGGGAGGCCCCACAGGCAGCGCCATTCGCTTCGGAGGCGTTGGGTACGTGGGTGCGCCCCGTGCGCGGGGTGCGAGGGTGGGAAAGGAGGGAAGGACAGAGGGGCAGGAGAGGAAGGCGAGGAGGGGATGGACTAGGATCCCGATGCAACTGTTTGCTCGCTCTCGCCATCGCCTGCGTGCCCCTCTCTCGGCCGAGGCGGATGGGGTCAAGGTTCACGTTGCTGGCTGGCCCCGCCCGCGGGTCCCTGCGAAGGGGCAGAATGGGCGCGAGGAGGCCAGGGGAGGGAGGCAGCTGCGAGGCGGGAATTGCCCTCACCCTCCACCTGGGGAGCCGATGCACTCTCACCGCAAGGGGCCAGCTGATATGGATACGTTTGGGCCCAATGCGGGCCCGAAGGTTTCCATATCCACCGCCTCCAGAGGTCCAGGAAGATCGGATTCCCAGGCAGCGGATGTTGGAACATCCCAGCCTCGGAGCAGGAATCTTCACGCGGGTCCGCGTTCGCGCGTGCCTTCAGCCCTCACTTGAGGGGGGAAGAGAAAGAAGGGGAGACCGGCTCAGGGGAGAGAAAGCATCGAGCCGGGATCGGCGATGCATCGCCAATAGATCGGCTACAGGCCCCCGATAATTAGCGAACCCGAACTCTACTGGCCAGGGTGGGGCCATCCGCGCTTTTGTCCCGGCGATGAATGGGCGATGGAGGGTCGATGTGACCCCCATCTGAGCCTATCCCCCCTTACCGGTGCCCCCGATGACTGCAAAATATAGAGACCGATACCGCTACTCCCCAGACCTCTCCCGGGGCGCGTTCTGACTAGAACCTCACGGCGAATCAAGCCGTGACGACGAGGGCCTCCCAGGAGGCCCGAGGAGGCGAAAACGAGGCAAGGGCAGCGGCATCGGTACCTTTTCCTCCTCCGAGTGTCGAGCGTGCCTTCAGCCCTCACTGAGACTGCTGGGGCGCGAAGTTCGGCTGGCCCAGCGCGGCGTCCGGCATGAGCGCGGCGTCCGGCATGAGCGCGGCGGCCCCAGCATCGTCCTCGAGCCCCGCGTACTCCTCGTGCGCCTCGTCCTCGTCCTCCGCGGGGCCAGGCCAAAAGGCCGAAGGGACCACGTTGTCTTCGTCCCTTCATGGGTCCCTCGTGGGCCACGGAGGGCAACGGCAACGTCCCTGGAGGGACGCCATGACCAAGACTGAACGCCGAGACGTCGGCGTCGGTCTTGGTTACAGTCCATCTTGGCCATAATCAATGCGTGGATAATCCTCGCAAATCGGCGACGGCCAGTATGGACCATGACCAAGATCGGCATCGAAAAGATCTCTGGGCATCTTGGTAATGGTCGTGGTTCGTCTTCCCTCGAAAAGACGTCAAGCGCATCGAGAAAACGGGGCGGGCGGCCTGTCGCCATGTTGCGTGGCCTCTCGGGGCTGGCTTCGGGCCCGGGCCGCCAGAAAACAATCTGGAATGAAAAGCCTGTTCCAGGGAAGGGCGATCATTACACCAATCCTCATTACAGGGACCACCCACCCTTCAGGCTGTGTGCTCAGGCTGTCTAATCCGCCAGTGTCCTCCTCCTCCTCCTTTTTCTCCTCCTCCTCCTCCTCATCATCATCATCATTAGCAGCCTCATCCTCATCCTCCTCCTCCTACACACCTTCTTTTCCTACCTACTCCTCCTGCTCCTGCTCCTGCTCCTGCTCCTGCTCCTGCTCCTGCTCCTGCTCCTGCTCCTGCTCCTCCTCCTCCTCCTCCTCCTCCTCCTCCTCCTCCTCCTCCTAGAGACAGGAAGAGCGTAAGGAGGCACCTCGGCGTTAGGATTCGCAGCCGCCACCTCACAGCTCGTCGTTCGGCGACCTGCCCTTAGTGCTGGCGATGGGAGCCCCTGGGGCCCGTGGGGGCCTCCTTGGCTATCCTGGGGGCACCTTGGGCCAGGGGCACTTCTTGCAACACCCGATCAGAGTGTTCTGGAACGCTCTGGAACAGATTTACCCTCCTCCTAGGCCCTGCGAGTCCTAACGCCGAGGTCCTCTCCTACGAGAACCTCTTCCTGCCTCTAGGGCCTGCAGGGGCCTGCACATCGGAAAAAGCGGTGCGCTGGACGTCGGAAGGAAAAACCCAGAGATGACCAGCCGTGGTGAAGAACTATGTGAGGATGGCCACGCTTGGCCTTCGGGTGCCCTGGCCAGGCAGTGGGCGGGAACACTGTTTTCCGTCGCAGCACGGCAGAGGCGATCCGCACGGGCGCTCGAATTGTCGGGGACACGCGACAAGCGAACTGTCCGGCTGCAAAAGCAAGGCGCGTGGGGAAGGAACGGCCGCGGAGGAAAACGGAGGGAGGAGATGGCACTCACGGCTGAAACGTGGAGAGGGAACACAGAGAGCCCAGAAAAGCTGCACCACTGCCACCACCACCAGCCCGAGGAGCCAGGCGGGGGGAGGGGTCCTCCTGGTGGTGTGGTCCCCCCTGGAGATGTCTCCAGCTCTTGGAGGCGGTGGTGGTGGGACAAGTTCTCGTTCCTCCGAGCGCTACCGTCAACAGAGCGGCCTCTGGGCGTTGAGCCCGGTCCCTCGGCCCCCGGGAGGCGGCCGAGAGGCCGCTGATGAAGGGGCCCTGGGACACACAAATAAATACACACAAATAAAAAGGTTCCCCATATTTTCCCATATCTTCTGGGTTCCTGTATTCCCCCCCACTTCCCATATTTTCCCATATTTTCTGGGGAATCGAGGATTAATTGTGTCTGTGTGTGGAGCCTGACCACTGGCGGCGCGCACGAGGGGAGCGGCGCAGGGGGGGCCGGGGGGCGATGGGGTCAGATCCCAACCGCACGGTCCAGATCCCAACGGGCTGAAAAACGGGAAACGAATACGAAACAGCACAAGAAACGCAACCGACACGCACTTATCAAACTTAATCGGTATCTATACGACAACTATAAGGCACAAATAAGTCAAGTATAAGAGCTTCTATGTGGAGCGTATATGAAACAGGGATCGGCGCATTCACTATCGGATTCCTATTGGAACACACATCGAAAATAGTGAAGAATCCTACGGGGACGGGGGCCGGTGAATGTCCTATTGAACGCCTACTGAAAACAAACTGAGCATGCAATAAGTTTGCTGGAGGCTGAGCCTGGAGCATTTGCAAATGGATTCCGAATGCCAGAGCAACAAAAAAATGACATGTCAAATAATCCTGAGGGAGGCTGGGGTCGGCGCATGTCCCGTTGGCTTCTCTACTGGAGAACAAATACAACAGTGGAAGATCCTGCGAGGGGCTGGGATCGTGGGATCGGCGCATGTCGTATAGATCTGCAAATGGGAATGAAGTAAAAATCTTAAGAGAGTACGCTGGGGGCTGAGATCGGCGCATGTACTAGTCCTTCGCTTCCGATTGGGCAAAAATATGACTTCGGGTATCGGCGAATGTCCTGAGATGTCCCTACTGAGCAACAAAACAGACTACATAACACTTGTGCTGGAGGCGGGGGGAGCGACGCATTTCATATTGAATTCCAAATGGCCATACACATAGCATATGGTATAATGATGCTGGATACTGGGGTCGGCGCGTTTCGTCTGGTAGTCCCGACTGGAAACAAATAGAACATTTCAGGATCCTGAGGGGGACTGGGATCGGCGCATTTTAAGTGACGTCCCAAAGGGACCTAAATGAAATATGAAATAATTAAACTGACGGCTGGGTTCGGCGCATGTACTGGATATTCATTCCGGAATGACAATAATATTAGACATACTTATGGATGCTGCTGGAGTTTGGGATCGGCACAATCCCTGTTGAATTCATAGTGGGCAATGTGAATGTATATATACATACATAAATATACGTATACGTATATAAACATGACATAACATAATATAACACAGCATAACATAGCATAGCATAACATAAATAACATAACAAACCATACCATACTATAGTATGCCATCACATACCACAACATACCATACCATACCATAACAAAACACACCATAACATATCATATCATAACATAACATAACATATCATAACATAACATAACACTGCGGGTGGCTAGAATCGGCACGTTTCCAATTGGATTCCAAATTAAAACCAATGCCGGCTGGCGGCAGCAAGGGCCGAGGCATCTCGATGCAAGGATCGACGCATTTCGTGATGACTTCTGATTGGGGAACTTATAAAAATACCGTGCTGCTGGGTGCGGGGGTCGGCGGATGACGGGAAGCGTCTTCGAGGAACGAAAAGCAAGTTGGACCATATGGCTGAAAATGTAACAGATCCATAAAATTGCTACCATACATATTATTCAGCCAATCGGGATTCCACGGGGAACCGGCTAAGCGGATTCCCCCGCGCAGCGATTTCACCTGAGACATCTCGGATGACGGGAAGCGCGCTCAGACTCGAAGAGTCGCGCGATAGACGCTGCTTCTTGACCCGGAAGGAAATATTATCAAATTGGGGGGAATCTGGAGGGGGGAGGGCTCTGGGTTGCTCCTTTATCCGACCCAAGCGGTTGACGGGAAGCGCGCTAAGATCCAAAGAATCGCACGATGAACAATGGTGAAGGTCGGGAGGGAACTATTATCAACTGGGGGGAGTCTGAGGGGGGACGGGCTCGGGGTTGCCCCTTGGGTCAGACCAGGCGGATGACGGGAAGCACGCTCAGACAAGAAGGGTCGCGCGATGGACGTTGGTGTAGGCCCGGAGGGAACAATTATCAACTGGGGGGAATATGAGGGGGGACGGGCTCGGGGTTGCTCCTTGGGTCAGACCAGGCGGATGACGGGAAGCACGCTCAGACAAGAAGAGTCGCGCGATGGACGTTGGTGTAGGCCCGGAGGGAACAATTATCAACTGGGGGGAATATGAGGGGGGACGGGCTCGGGGTTGCTCCTTGGGTAAGACCAGGCGGATGACGGAAACAGGAGAGCCCAGAATCGAATCGACAAATCGGATCGGCGACCGAAATGAATCGGACCGGTGGCAATCGGCAGCCGAATCGGGAAAAGTCGAATCGGCAGAAATCGGCAGCGTAGTACGCCTCCATTAAGAAATCGGAGCCAAAATCGGATTCCGAAATCGAATCGAATCGGAATCGGAAATAATCGAAATCGAATCGAATCGAATCGGGGGAATCGAAACGAGCCCTGCGGAAAGCGCGCCTAGGCTCGAACCCTGGAGCGGGAACGCTGCCTGTCGCGGAAAGGGTGAGCCCCCTGGACGTCCAAGGACACCCGCCCGCGGGCCGCGGAGCTATCCGGAGCCGTGGTCGGCGCTCGCAGTGCCGAGGGGGGGCATCCTCCTCATCCTCCTCCTCTTCTTCTGATTTTTCTGTTTTGCTTCTTGTTATTCTTAGTAGTATTACTACGATTCTCAATATTACTACTATTCCCTACCTAGGCTCTGCCTAGAAGGGTTCTTACTCTCTAGCTTAAAGGGGCCGGGCAGTGGAAATCGCCCCGGGCGGTTCCCCCAGTCCCCGCCCCGCGGTTCCCCCAGTCCCCTGGGAGCCTTAGCTTTAGCTTTAGCTTTAGCTTTAGCTTTAGCTTTAGCTTTAGCTTAGCTTTAGCTTAGCTTTAGCTTAGCTTTAGCTTAGCTTTAGTTTAACTTTAGCTTAGATTTAGCTTAGCTTTAGCTTAGCATTAGCTTAGCTTTAGTTTAGCTTTAGCTTAGCTTTAGCTTAGCTTTAGCTTAGCGCTAGCTAGCTTTAGCTTAGCTTTAGTTTAGCGCTGGCTTAGCTTTAGCTTAGCTTTAGCTCTAGCTTTAGCTTAGCTTAAGCTTAGCTTTAGCTTAGCTTTAGCTTAGCTTTAGCTTAGCTTAAGCTTAGCTTTAGCTGTAGCTCTAGCTTTAGCTAAGCTTTAGCTTAGCTTTAGCTTAGCTGTAGCTCAGCTGTAGCTCGGCTTTAGCTTAGCTTTGGCTTAGCTTTAGCTGAGCTAAAGCTAAGCTTTAGCTTAGCTTTAGCTTAGCTGTAGTTCAGCTTCAGCTTAGCTTTAGCTTAGCTTTAGCTTAGCTTTAGCTTAGCTGTAGCTTAGCTGCAGCTTAGCTTTAGCTTAGCTTTACTGTTACTAC